ACACACACACACACACAAAACCTAAGGAGAAATTCCATAACTAGTATTGAGACTGCTGTTAGGACCTGTTCTAGATTTCAAGCCAGCTCTTCCTGGCTCATCAGAGAACTACCTTTTTTTTCTCCTAGGACCATGGCTAATAAAACCCAGGAGGTTGGTGGCATCCATTTCCCTTTTCCCTTCACGCCCTATTCCATCCAGAAAGACTTCATGGCAGAGCTATACCAGGTGTTAGAGGCTGGCAAGATTGGGATATTCGAGAGTCCAACTGGCACTGTGAGTATGAGTAGTCAGGGCCTAAGTGGGCTCTGGGCTCAGCCAGAGGCAGCCTGGCACGCTTGTTGGCCTGTGCAGAGATGTTCATGGTTTGAAGTTGGGCAAAGTAGTTCTCCCAGTTTACCTTTCTGAGTAGTGCTCACTTCCCTCTATTAAATTGTTAAATACAGCCCTAGGCTCTGAGAAAAATTAGGCTAAAGACGAATGAGACTTTGAGTGGCCGTGAACGCATAGCACTGAAATGTTCCAAATTTCTCTGGGCACACAATAGCTTTGATGTTGAGCAACAGAGAAGTTACTTATTCACAGATTAAACATACTGGCTTAGTCTCCAGGTTACTGAATGCTGGAGGGATCCAGTCACGGGCCCCTTAAGTTTTTTCTCCCTGGCCTGGAATGAGGGCTTTATTAGAAGTTGGCCGTTGAAGATTATTGGGGCTCTGGCAATTGGGTCCCACTTCTCTCTTGCACTTTATTTTATAGCAAGTACTATGTGATAGTGAAATGTATATGTTGATGTGAAGGTCCCTCAGCGAGGCTGTCACTTCCTGGAGGATAAGGACCTTATGGTCCTCATCTCTGTGTCCCTGTCATTTAGCAGAGCTTGGCCCATTTGGCCTGTAGGAGACTCTTTTTTTTTTTAAAGATTTTTATTGGGTATTGGGGGATAGGAACAGTGCTGGGGAGTTGGGGGAAGGGGAACAGACAAGTTGCTATCGTTTTGTTCTTCAATCTAGTTGTGGAGGACGTGGCTTCNAAAAACCCTGACCCTGAGCCCGCCCCGCAAGCGTAATAGCGCAAGAAGAGAAAGTCACGCCCCTGTGCACATCTGCGCAGTGGCGCAAAAAGAAAAACGTACACGCCCCTAAGTCTCCGCGTGAGCACGCGCAGTAGCGCGGGGGCGTGGCAGCGCAGCACGCTCCTGTGCGGCCTGATGTCGGGCAGAGTGGCTATTTCAAATTGAGCGACGTTTCTTCTGACTCCTCAGTGGACTGGCCTCAAGCGAAGCTGGCCTGCTGGCGAGGAGGATAAGCGCGGTGCCGAGTGGTGACAGAGCTGAGGACGAGGAGAAACGAGATAAGAAAGGGCAAACGCCGGTGTAAGTGCAAACGGGGCACTGTGTGCGAAGCAGTGAGGGATTAGGGAGCGGGAGAAACCTTCCGGATCTGGAGGGGTGGGGTTAACGTGTGATTGACAGGCGAGAAGCCAATGCGAAGGGAAAGGGGAGGCCAGTGAGGGCGGGAACTGCAGTTGAACTGGAGCGGTGTTTAGGACTAATAATAACTAACACGCACCTAGGACTTAGTAGCCCATCTATGCTAAGCGCTTTTCATAAATTATCTTATTAGTAGTTACTGCAACCGTATGAGTGTGCGCTTTTACCTCTCTCTTTTACACGTCAGGAAACTGAGGATTAGGGATATTAAGGTAAGCAAGGATACGTCTGGGATCCCAAATTTGGCAATCTGACCCCAGAGCCCACACTGTTAATGACTCTGCCGTACTGCCCTTTAGGTAATCGAGGTAGAGGGGTGTCCAGTAAAGAGAATTGGGGTGAAGGGAATTGATCAGCTTGTTAGAGGGTGTGTCATGAAAAGTGGAAATAAATACCAATAAGTAGCAAGTTTTTCCTACACGGTGTGAAAACTCTTAGAATGGAGCTGGGAGGGAGACAAGGCCAGAGCAAGGTGAGACGGGGGTGGGGGGGGGTGTCTATGGGCCAGGCCATGTCCCCAGCTATCGGAGCATTGCAGCTCTGCTGCATGCTTTGGCTCTGGATTAACAGCAGGTGCAGAAAACGTTTCTTCTCTTGTGGCTGTGTTGTCTCCCAGGTGTGTGAAGTTAAAGCATTTCAGGAGCATAAGAGCAGGATAGTACCTGGAACATAGTTGTATCTGTCTGCTCGGGCTGCCATAACAAACTACCATACACTTGATGGCTTACGCAACAGAATTTTCTTTCTCTCAGTTCTAGTGGCTGGGAAGTCCAAGATCAAGGTGCCAGACTATTGAGTTCCTGGTGAGGATTCTCTTCCTGTCTTGCGGAAGGCCCCCTTCTTACCTTGTCCTCACTTAGTTGGTAAAGAGAGAGCCCTCTCCCTTCCTCTTATAAGGCCACCAATCCTTATAAGGATAGGACCCCACTGTAACAACTTATTTAATATTTATCTCCTTCATTTAATCTTAATTACCTCGTAAAAGTTCCATCGCCAAAGAATCTCATGGTGGGGGTTAGAGCTTTAACAGAATTTGGGGGAGGGGGAGACACAGTTCAGTTTGTCACAGTAGTTTATACCCCAGTAGCATATGATAATTAAAGACGGAAGAAAATGAACACTTTCAGAACTAATATGTACCTGAGGTGCTTTCATGTATATTATCTCATTTGATGAGCATAGGATTTGGTGGGCTGGTGTGTGCTGAGCACTGGTGGGGAATTTTAGGAAGAACTTGTGTGGGAGTTCATGGTTGCCCTCACAACCAACCTGCAGAGTTCAGAAAAAGCTACACCAAATATCCTTAATGGCGCTTAGTGTATCTATTATTCATAACTTATCTAAACTCTCCTTTAACTTTTTACTTAGCTTGTGCTGCTTCTGGAATATTGAGATCCATAATTACCACCCACAGGTAGTGAGATAATAATTACCTTTTTTCTGTATTGTTTCATGTTGTCATTCTAAAGTTTGGTAACCACATGTCTTCACCGTAGTTATCCTGATGGGAGGAAGAGTGAAGAAATACAAAGCTCGGGTTTGAAAGTCCGGCAGATGTGATTCAGGCAGATGTGCATTCAAATCTTGATTCAAGCACTTGATGAGTGACTGGACAAGTCACATTAACCTTTCTGAGTGGCAGTTTCTTAATCTATAAAACACCTGATAAAAATACCACATGGGGTTGTTGTGACATTATATGAAAACAGTTTGAAACTATTTAAGAACTGGCGCTTGGACTAGATATTTAAGTCATGGGACCTCCAAGACCCACACCTCTGAAGAACAAAAACCTCCACCTACAGCCCCCAAGTGAAGCTGGCTACTCATTCATCCATCCATCCATCAAATTTTTATTGAATGCCTGCTAGTTGCCAAGGCACCTGGTTTTCTGGGTGCTATGGGCAGAGAAGAACAAGGCAGACAAGGTTCTTTTTTTAATGCTGCTTATATTCTGGGTGGAGGGGAGGACAGTAAATAAAATAAGTTGAGGTAGCGCTATAAGCTGTGAAGAAATTAAATATAGAGTAATGAAATAAAAGAGTGACTTAGAGCAGTGTGCATGTGTGCATTTATTTAGGCAGGTAATGGTATTTGACCACTGTAGGATGGCCAAATAGAGAGAGGGAGAGCCTTCTCTGAGGAGCTGAGTCTTAAATACTTAGGACTCATCATTCCCCAGGCAGTGCAGGATGG